AGTTGTAAGCATATGCGAACAATGATCCTTTACTTAATTATTCAATATTTCATCAAACTCTAAAACGTAACCAATCATTACGACGATTCTCAATTGTTAAAGTCTTTGTTCGAGTGATGTAATTATACACAGTTTTTTACGTGAATTCGACGAAGAGCGTCTGAATTGAAATGATTGTGTCAAAATTTTGATGTCCACTTCGATTCCTAATAATATTTTATGTGGATGTGGTGGCTTATCATGACGTACTATAGCCAACCACGACGAGACATCATCCATTTACGGTTTCAATATAATTAACATTTTATCACTTTAATACCATGATGTTTTATTATATTGCTGTAATAAAATACGAAAAACTGGATGTATTATGTAATTCAAGAATACAGGGATACTAGCTATACTTTTTTTATGTAAATTTATGTAAATTTATTTTTTTACTAATGTCACGTCTCACGTGAGTTCACGTTGGATATACCGATTCTTAAAATATTATGATATAATCCACGRTCAGCATACCTAATACTGTACTAATCTATTAATTACTATTTTTTTAAGTACCTATAATTAATACTACCTTTCAACGTTTTGATTTATGAATTGAATTACACAATTCGATAATATCACTGATATATATATATATTGTTAAAGTAGATAGTGATTAAAGGTAAACTTTTATTTTGTCGAAATTATGAAATTTTTCTTGAATATTTTTACTTTTGATAATTTGAAGTTATTAAAAAACAAAAACTTTAAAAATCTTTGGTTTTATTATTAAACTTTTTTTCAAAAATTAAAATTACCTTAACTATGAAAAAAAAACAGCTAGCGTTTACCTGATAAAAGAACTACTTTGTACACGCCGTTAAATTATTATAAAACTACTGAAGTAATAATTAGTTTATGATMATTTATGTAAATTTAGATCAAATTATTTCTCTATTAAAAGAAAATCTTTTCAGTAGATGGATGTATTTTATTTTTTTTAAACAACAATTCGATAACATTAGTGACGGCAGTTATATGGTCACATTTATAATATACCTAATTACACATTAATATAATTAATTATTATTATAGGTTTTAAATCAGTAAGTTTTAAACTATAAATACTCTTTATTAACTTGAAAAACGTACTATGATTATTGTCTTAAGCATCGCATATTTTGTTTTTATGAAAGTAGGTATTATAGGTGAGCGTGAGTTTATTATTGTGAAATCTCAATATTAAGCTGATAAACAACATAATATATGATAGCGCTTTCCGTGATGCATAAATTATTAGTTTTTAATGCGGCTTAGAACTAAAAATAAAAATAAATATGATGGTTATAAATAAACAACCAAAATGTTAAAATTATAATATGATTATCGTATATTAATAATTTTTGCATGTGGAAGAGGCAATTACACATAATATCGAACAGCAAYAACATATAGTTAATTATAATATTATAATACGTTACGTGCTTATATTATATTAAAATAGTATAATATAGAAAATGGATTACTATGTACAGATAATGTCTCGATGGATGGTTTTCGTTACAAGACTAGAAACCACTATACAAACGGCAGTCCTACACACATTTACTACAACTCACTTATTGATCACCCAAACATCCTGGAAAAATATCTATCCAAAACAATGCCCGGTAACCCATYCATTAGTGTTGAGTATATTATGCGAACAATTCAACCTCATTTAGCGATACCATAACGAGAAAAAAAACTCCAACCAAAAAACTGCAAAGAAAATAGTGTCCTGACCTATTCCACTAACCTTACCCTATCACACAACCCAGGAGCGTCGTCAATGGGTGGTTTTTTCAGTAAGGCTTTAATGYTTTATGTTACGCCTAATTTTCCTAATAATATAATTCTTTAAGCTTATTAAACAAATGTTGTATAGGTTGTTTAATCTAACTAAAAAATAAATACAGRTAAATTAACTTATATTTTTGATTTATATAAGATTTTATTTTCTTTCCAAATTAATTAAGTCATGTAATTTGAAAGAGGTAGTTATTTTAATTTGCCATAAAAGTATGTGATCAAATGTACATTTTTTAGGCTATTTTAAACTATTTTTTTCTCCTAATAAGTGGTCAAAATTTTTTACTTTTGATTAAAACGTAAGAAACATTTTGTCTAGCTTTTAAGCGAATAAAATAAACTCAATTTGATTCGTCAGATATTATATTATACTGGGGACGACATTAATTTGTAAAAATATTTTTTTCTAATAAATATTGGTTGACCTTGYCAATTTTTTGTTTCAAAAACGGAAAGAGAAATCGATTTGAACCCTTATATACTTGTATATTGTACAGCTATACGTACATACTTATAGTTGTCTAATTTTATGCGATTTCGGATTTGTAAAAAAAAACTGTTTATTTTGTTGTGTTGTAGCCTGTAGGTATACAGTTATAAGTATCTTTGTATTCCCGCTGTGCGCTTTCTTCAAAGAGATTAGGTATGCAGTTATACGTCATAATATGTAATTTATAATCATACAAAATTATGCACTACCTCTCATTATATGTATTCATGTTATGGCGAGTGACTAAAAAAAAAAATAATAACAATAAAATCGGGTTTTCCGGAAACCGGTTTACAATGTTGTACATTCGAGTGTCTCGCACGTGTTAGAAAACGGGAAAAACCCCGCCAACACTCCCGGATTCTCTGCCGACCGGAAATCCCGTGAAAACGTCTTTCTCGCGTTCTCATTTCGAATTGAATCAAACGACTCAATAATATTATGTATCATTAGAGCAAAACGAACAAGTTATACTACAGAGTGGATATAGTCTCGAGGGATCTTGTGTATTAAACGAGTACGTTATAACTTATAATACATCAGCTGTCTATAAACTTTACGGTATACTTTTTTTTTTTAATTATATTTTACCAGCAGGTATTCTGTTATATATTAGGTGGGTTGGGTTATATTTAGTGTTTCAAACTGCAGAAAACGTATTATTTCTATAAGTAATGTAACAGACATTTTTAWTATTCTTTTATAATTTAAAATAWATGTTTATTAATTATGCATTTATGGCATAATTATATAATGTAGGTACCTAATAAGTGTAAGTTTGATTACCATCGAATCACCTGAATAAGTAAAAAAATATAATAAAACACTGAAATTCTACGATTCCCATAAAAATCTTTTTGTTTTAATATTTTTTTTTTTAAATCGGGGATGGCAAGTCTAGCTACCTCCTACATCTTATGATAATGAAATGAATACGATATAGCGTGTATGTATATACCTACATATTACATAATATGTAAAATTTTAAAATGATTCGTAGGGAATAAATAATAGTAATAATAATTTGTGTATAACTTTTAACGATTAACTACGAATCTCCTCCGCAACCGCCAGCCGCCACCACCGCGGCCGCCATCCGTCAACCACTTCCACGACCGCCGACGCCGGCGATTGGCGCAGGCGCGAGCACACGGTCAATGCGATATAATTTTTTTTATAAAACGGTCGGCAGCACGGTCGCTCGTGGTCAGTACCGAGTTCAATGTCAATATCAGAGGAACTGCAATTATTGCCGCTGCAATAGTGCCATCATCGCATTTCGCAATCACAGTTCTTGGATATTTGGCGGTATAWACCATACATAGACTTCCGTGTGCGACGATATTTTGTTTGTTTTTCAACTCGATTTCCGTCTCAACGTACCTATACATCCGTTTCGCATCCACAACGAGTTCGCAAACGTTTTACATTCGTATTTATATATTACGCGAGTTTCGGCGTTTGTCGCCAATTCGTAGTATACCTACGAGGTACCTTTAAACGCGTTAATTCTCGTCATCCGTATCGTTCAACATGTACGTGAACCCGTGGATCAGGAAACACTCGACCATCAGACAAGTGATCGACAAGCTGCTGTCGATCAACACCAACAAGACGAAGAAGTTCGACGCTATGCTGAACAAAAAAAAGCACACCAGAAGTAACAGGACTACGACGACGGCGGCGGCGGCGGCGGCGGCGGTGGCGACGGACAAACGACGAAAATGTTAGCATCAGCCAGGCGTGAGACGAAAGTCGTGCAGCGGTTTTGATTTTTTCGCGCACGGTCGAGTAGAGTAACGCTACAAGAAAATATGTCCGTCCAAAAATGTTCCTATATCTATATAAAAATATATATATTATATTATCACCGTCCATACAGCAAATATTACGATATTTGTAGTATACCGTGGTAATCACGACGTTTATGATAAACCTATACGCCAGAGAGAGAGACGCTGCAGTTTCCCCCAACGCCACCGCCTAAGCATATAATATAATATAATGCACCTATGTCAAATATATTATATACGTTTACTATACGTTTCGTACCCACGTATCGTAGTATAACCCATACTATAATATTATAGCTGTATAATAATATAATATATAATAATCAAGACCACAAACAAAGACGTCCACCGTATCCAATATTTTGATGAACGATATTATAATATGATATTATGTACACCGRTTGTAAATATATTTAAATATATATAATGTGCCGTACAAGTCTATGCCACGTCTCAAACATCGAGTACGCGAGGTAAGTCATTTCATTTTTTTTSGCTTTTTTTTATACGCGCGTTTCACGATTTATATCCCCAGGCCCCAAGACTAGGWATATACATGTGTGTCAAGCTGTAATGTGTAATCTGCTGCTGTAGTATGTAATTTTTAATAATAATCGCCTACTCGCAACTATATATGCGCATTTGTATTAWGTGGTGTTATATCGATGGACAAATTTATCGAACTTATACGCCRGAGACGTCGATCCTCTCAATTTTTCATATAATTAGACCTTTTCAATCATGTCCATGGTTTTGGCGCTARCACAACCGAAGTAGTCGTAAATTCGTACTAATGATAATAATAATCGTAAGTAATAGTCTACATATAACATATATATTTATAGGTGATATCTATCATACGTTTAAAACCAACACGTAGTAATTGATCCCAAACGAAAAGGTCGTAGTCRCGAATATATACGTGTAGTCGTGTAGTGTGTACGTTCGAAGCACGTATGGACTTGCGAGTCGATGCATAACTGMTTAAAATCGATCATTTTTTATAAATTCTTTTTGTTTATTATTACTATTATGTAGGTACATATCGCATAATCTGTGGCATGTATACATCATACGCACAATGTAAATAGTATTAGGTACACTCATTAAACATATTCGATTCGGACAACTCGAAGTTGAAGGGAGATAAAAATTCGCTTCGAGATTTGTATTATTCGAGATATCTAATAAATTAATAGGGGAGGAATTTTCCAGGAGAATAAAAAATATTCAAGCTGTCAAGTTTTTCGAATTATCGAGGTTCGAGTTATCGCGACTCTACTGCACATATAGTATGCGATGAGGCTATATAGTTTTACCAGATAGAATTTTAATCGACGACGACKATTTTAAGTACATTTTTTGAATACAACACTATACTCGCGTGTATGCGGATTCGTATGATATAATTATTGCAGACAACGTTTTTGCTTTCATTTGTCTATTAGTAACATTTCAATATGATGTCGTTCAATATTATAAGTACGTGCGTGCAATCAAAAACCAATCAGTCCTATGYAGTGTAGATATTCTGGATTTTCGTGAAAAACATACGTTAGATCGACAAGACGGTTTATTACGTATAATAATAACGTCGATAATRTTATAATCATTAATCATGATATACGCACATAACGTACGGCGTCYATGGTATGCGCGTACCGCATATTTGAAATTTTATCACGGAACCCATTTAAAGTGTGCACTATTGATAAGGACGGTTTTATGTAGGATATCAAGACGTTTATATTATTATAATCCTTATTAGGTAGAAACTACTATTATACCCGCACGTGTAGTCTCGTCGTGCGATCGGGAATATTTAATAATATTATATTTACCGTATTATTATTTTATACGAAGWATTTATAATAATGATATAGAATGTGGTCCCGTCGTCCATGAATCCGCGACGATGACAAGTCGTGATGGTCAAGGACTCCAAGCTACGGGACGAAAACCGCTAAAAGATGCAATCGTGGGTCRCATTTCTTGTAGGCCGTAGCCGGTTTTGTTTCTCGTTAGCTAGCGGTTTCAATGTTTATTGTTTTGAAGTTACCGATTAATGTCTTAAAAAACGCGTCTTCCGTTTCGTTGACCTCTGGTGGAGAATGTAGCCGACGGGCTGCATATTACAAAAATACGAATATTATAAAAAGTCAATATCGGAGGCACCAGAATTTTCGATGATATTCTAAACCACAATATTATAGACTATTAGTAAAACAAGTGTTAAAATTCTTTCATTTTTTCATTACATCTATATATTATATTTCTTTTCCAAAATGTGTCTACTTTTTGTTCTTTGACAACTCAAGTTAATACTATACCTATGTATTTAGAATAATATGTATAACCACCTTGCATCCTAGCATTTTTTTTATTAAGTTTCCCTGGACGAGATTTACATAGAGTGGGACATTTTTTTCCGGAACACAATTAATTATCACCTACTCGCCGATACACAMACAGCGCGTCTTTTGTTGTGTTACTATWATATTATAATGTRCTTTTTATTTTTCGCAGCTGTCTTTCGGGATCGAACGGATATAATMATTTAAGCAACACAACATTCGRAACATAATGTGGCCACAGTGTTGTACGATGTACCCACGTGGCCACGTRACGTATTCTGCAACTGGTCCACATTACCGTCAATTTAGTCAAAATGGATTTGGATTTCACCTAAGTAGAATATCATCATAATCACCATCTTCATCATCATCATCATCATCATAATATTATTATTATATTGCCGATCACGGAGACGGATTCGCATTCTTGCGAGACAATGGACGACGACGCATCGTCTGCAGCCAAGTCAAATTTACGTAAAAGCAGGTGAGGACTGATTTTGATTATAATATTAATATTATACATAAAATATAAATATAAATTATTATCAATCTTTGAAAATAGTATGAAAATATATACAGGGTGATTTTTTTATCGAAGAACACTCATACTCATACACTCATACTTTTTTTAATAATGAGTGTTCTTCGATAAAAAAATCACCCTGTATATCGATCGATGAAAGTTCCTATATATTATTAAGTCCTTCCATAATTATATTTATACGTCATAGCGAGACGCATTATTATTATAATAGGATGCCAATATGCCATTAACGAAATGTCGGTCTGCAATGACCATTTCTACAATAAAATCATACGACTGTCGGCGATTAAATAAAAAAATTAAAATTTATTTTTGAAATACTCGAATCGGTATTTTTATAAAACAAATCACATTTTTTTATGATTATTTAAATGATTAGATAATTTGCATCAGGAGGATTGGGAGTGACTCGCTTGAGACTGAAAATAGGCAAAATAGTAGAAATGAGAGTTTGACAGGTTTATTATGATATATTATTACGATATCTTGAATTTCTATATGTACCTGCTACTACCATTTTGGAKTTATCCACGTCGATTTTCGAAGATATCGCATGACGTCGAGTTATTAAAATATATATATTACGATTAAATTCCAGCACAAAAATGGCTTATATACCAAGTCCTTGATTCGAAACCGAAATTCCTAGGAGGATATCCGGGAATAATGCACCTGCTGTTATCCTCGACATCTGCTCACGATTTATAATAATATTTTAATAAATTATAAAACATATTATCTGTGGCACTGACATTTCGGACCAAYCTACGCTAATTAAAAACAGACGACGAGTCAACGAACGAATTGACCTGTGTCTTTAAAAATATATTAAAACAACATAATGTTATTTAGACCCTATAAATATAAAATTTTATTTTTTCGTGTCAATTGAAATAATACTAGCTAGATTAGGTACCTAACTATCCATCAATTAATAATTTGTGTATCGTTTTTGACATATAGATCTTTATGTTGGCATGCAATAAATAATAATTCGCCAACTCGTATATAATTAATAGATATTATTTAAACCTCCGTATTATAATGTCTAATATGTTAWTATTCATATTAATTATTTGTTGTTTGTTTCCAGATTAAAATTGTATTTGGTCATACAGTTAAGTCAGAAAATCAATCGGAATTACGAATACTACTTGGAAATGTATAAAGAAACTTTTATTTAAATTATTTTCGACGTATGTGCTCGTAATGTTATTTTTATTTTTACGTGTAATTTTATTTTATTTTATT